GCTCTCCCATCCAGAAGTCAAAGGGACCATCTGGGGAAGTCTAAGGCACGGCAAACAGAAAACCTGCTAAGTCACGTACCTTCCTGCTACAGACACGGCCAGGCTGTAGGACCCACGGCTCCACGAAGCTCTAAGGTGGGAGGATGAAGAAGCCTCCAGAAAACAGGAATATCCCCAAGTTATTCCAGTTAGAGCCAGCAATTTTGGAAGAGGGTATTAAGCTTCACAGACCATGCTCCATCACCTCCTCCTCTTACCTCTGCCACTGTAGGTTCTTCCCCCACTTCCCCCCCAACATATCCCGTGGCAACCTTTCGGGGAGATCGGGCCACCTCCTTCTGGGCCCAGCCTTTCCCATCACCTTCAGTCCAATGCTCCCGAGCACCACGGGCACGGCGGCCGCTCGGAGAACCTCCCAGATGCCATCCAGAGGCCGGCTGATGCTATTTACCAACCAACTCCTTCAGCCCGCAGCCTGTTCTCAAATTGCTCTGGGGAAAGGAGAGCTGCTTGAAATAAAACCAGTCTGCATTCAACTGTCCTGGCAGACCGCACGGAGAGCCTACAGGCCAGGGGTTAAGTGCTCCTGCAACAAAGCACAGGCTCCCCACGGGTCACTGGGAAATCCAGCGTTTTTAACATGCTCGTTCCTGCCGAATCACGTTTCCACACATTAAAGCCTCGTCCCTGCTCCGCGCTGCACTCAGCAGAGCCTTCCCACCACATCTGCAGCTGAGCTGCCAGCGCCCGCCGGGATCAAAGGGTGAATTTGGGGAGAGGCATCCGAGCGCTGCCTGCACATGGGTTAAGGATGCCCCGACTTCTTGCACTGGAGAAAGGGCTTTTAAGCCTGCTGCCTTCCAGCTCCCCAAGGCTTTCGTCCCGTGCTGTTGCTAAGGATCGCGGCCAGGTGACTTGCACATGGTCCCACCGCGACCTGAGACCCGAGAGCACAAACAGCTTTTTACAGGGGCTGAGAAATTGCCGTGGAGCCGGCACGACCCGGAGGCGGCAGCGCCTGGCAGGTGGGACATCGGGTGGGCACAGACAAGATTATTATCCCGACTCCATCTGCCGTCCTGCGCAAAGATCAATGCTCATTTCCAGCAGCCCACCGTTCTTCAAAGGCCTGACTGAGATAGTTGCACACTTTCCAAATTACCGCATGTTTGCATTTAGCTCCACTTGCCCTCGCTTTCACTCCACTTGCCACTTACCTGTTACTACATCCTATAAAAAGGGGCTTTCTCCCAGCCGATCACTGTTTGACCCTTGCCGTGCACATTTAAAAGTCTCTGCCGCTGCAATAGGGCCACGAGCAAAGCACTGATGCCAAACACACGGTTGCAACTGCTCCGGAGACCCCTGCAAAGGAATTCTCCTGGGCCAACACTAACTTTAAGCACTGCACTGGAGCTGGACAAAAGGAGCTACGATACCTTAACATTGAGATCTGCAGCTTGCTCCCAGAGACACGGATACCCAGGGCTAAGGATTTTATGTGCTCCTTGGTCAAGGCACCACATCAGCATGTCCATGGGCTCCTCTCCTCACAAGCGCCTTCCATCTCTTCTGTCTCGCGGGGCTGAAGGTAGAAACCGTGCTCCCCATGCCTCTCAGTTAAGTATCGCTTTCCACATGAAAGACAAGCAAGGCTGGTAAAATAAACCCACCCATGTTACAGAATCCCAGCATGGCAGGGGCTGGCAGGGCCCTCGGGAGCTCACCCAGTGCCACCCCCCTGCTCAAGCAGGCTCACCCAGAGCAGGGGGCACAGGACAGCATCCAGGCAAGGGTTGAAGATCTCCAGAGAAGGAGACTCCACAGCCCCCCCGGGCAGCCAGCCTTCTCTTCTCCAGGCTGAACAAGCCCAGCTCCCTCAGCCTTTCCTCCTAGGGGAGATGCTCCAGTCCCCTCATCATCCTTGTTGCCCTCCTCTGGACTCTCTCTAGGAGTTCCTCATCTTTCTTGAACCAGGGAGCCCAGAACTGGACCCAGTGCTCCAGGTGGGGTCTCCCCAGGGCAGAGTAGAGGGGGAGGAGAACCTCCCTCGCCCTGCTGGCCACGCTCCTCTTCATGCACCCCAGGATGCCATTGGCCTTCTTGGCACCAAGGGCACCCTGCTGGCTCATGGCCAGCTTGTGGCCCACCAGGACTCCCAGGTCCCTCTCAGCAGAGCTGCTTCCCAGCAGGTCAGCCCCCAGCCTGGACCGGTGCATGGGGTTCGACCTCCCCAGGGGCAGCACCCGACACTTGCCGTTGTTACACCCAGCTAGCGTTGTGCTGGGAAGGGTTTCAGCGTACGCCACCCTGCTGCACCCTCGGAGAAGCAATATTAGCAAAGGAGACAAACTGACCCAGCGCTTCCTCCTCTGCTCAGCGCACCCCGTTACCGAAGGACCCCTCTCTCAAACATCCTTTTTCCTTAACCAAGAACTACGCTGCTCTGCCGAAAAGGTAAAGGGAGGGCTACTTTTGTTTAAAACCACAGCTTTCTTCTGAAAAACAGCTCTCCACAACACTCTGCGAGCCTTTTACCTACATCACCGCGCTTTGGCTCGTCTTACCACGATGAAACACTTTTGATGTTCCCCCCCCTTCCCCCCCTGTGGCCTCCTTGCTGGGCTACCAGCCCTCCATTTGCACGGCCAATACCGGTTCCAACCCGGACATGGCTTCGCATCCATCTTCAAGCGAATACTTTTATTAAACGTTACTTTTCAGAAGCTGTGGTCAAAATCCATTGTGAAGAATCGATCCTGAGCACTTGGCAGCCTGTGCCAAAGCATGTAACTAATAGACTTTGATTCCAGCCTGATATATTTATTTTATAGGGCTAATAGAATTTATCGAAGGAAAAAATCTAATACCCAAATCCAATTCTGGAATTCAATCCACAGCCACTGTAATTTGTTTCTCTTTCAGGTCACCCTACCTGAGGGTGCAGTCCAAGAAACAGCTTTGCACTGAAGGTTTGCTCCAGCGTCATTTAAATGAAATTTATGGTTTAAAATCAAAACTCCTTCCCGAGTGGTTGTGACAAGCCAACAGACGGCATTTTCTAGGACAGCATCTGTTCTTTCCTGCAGAGTCTGAATAATTTAACCAGAACATGGAAGTTCCAGCGGAACCAAGGAGCCCACATTTAAGGAGAAACGGGACACGCAGTTGTTTCCTATTCAAAATTGCTAAGCTTTCACGTTGCCTCCTACCTCCTCTCCCCCTCCTCATTCAGACCTATTGGGAACTGCTCCGATCAACGCGAGGGGAGATTAATTCTGTCTCCTAAAACAGCGTTCAAATGGCAACGACTCTTCGGTCATTTCACCAAGATGCCAGAGAGGAGGCATTTGCATCCGAGGTCGCACTTGGAAGAAGGAAAATAGAAGAGGAACGACATACAGGAGCAGACAGCTGTGAGCTCTACAGGCGGTTAGTTTTAGGCATTCTGGAAGAGAAAGTTAAACCAAACAGTCAAGTTATTTCCCTCAAAAAACACAAAACCTTTGGAAGCGATATAGCAAACGTTCAACCAGGGTTCTGCCCAACCTTACTGCTAAGGCCTGCGGGCAAGACGGACTCTGAGCACGATGCCAGCACAATCACCAGCGCTACCCAAATCCGCTCCCCCCCCACCTGGATCTGTTCCTACAGCTCGCTAGGAAGTGCAGGTGGACGGCCGCGCGGCAGGAACAGCTTGGTTTCGTGGAGCGCTTTGGCTCCGCTCGCTCCGAGGAGCCGTGCCAGCGGCCGCCTTCATCCGGGGAGCGGTTCCGGCATTTTTACGGCCGCAGAACCGTTTGCGATGTCTCCGACAGCCAGATGACAAAGAGCAGCCACAGCTCCAACGGACCTGAGCTCCAGCACCTAGTGGCTGCAGCGTGAGACGTAAGGTTATTCAGGAGTCCCGGGCGCTGGTGAAGCATCGCGCCTCCTTCTCTCCGCCAAGGTCAGCAGGATCTGGAAGTACCACAAAAGACTTTGGGCACGGCTATACGTACTCAGTATCAGCACACTCCTTCAAGGACGGTCGCCAAAGCAGAGGTGGACAACAAGGTGGGGAAAGGTCTCCGCAGGTTTGGCAAGGACGCGGTGGGAGGCGAGAGAAACTTAAGCGAGCCCGTGAATAAAGAAGAGAAGAAACGATCTGGAAGTTAAAGTGTTTATTGATGTGTTTAAACTTTGTACATTCCCCACAGACCACACTAAGGAGTTTGCAGGTAAATCTGTGCATAGTGGGAAGAGACACGGAAGGGGGAAGAAAAAAATAAAGTCACAGGAAAAATAGAAAAAATACACCACAGGTTACCAGAACCTCCAGATTTAAAAAAGCCGTGAGCATTAACACCAACTATACAAGCATTACAAAGACATGATGGTGAGTGGAACAATACCCCTTTTGTTCTTCGCGGGGCCTATGCACCCAATTTCCCTTAAAGCAGGCAGTATCCCTTTCCAAACGTACCCCTCTCTTAACCCCAGTTAAGTGAACCGCTGTTTTAACCCCCGTCAGAGCGAACTCCACGTTCGTCAGCTCCCAAGGTACTGATTATTGCAGTGATTTGTCATGTCTGGGCAAACGCACCCAAAGCCGTGCCTATGGCCCAACATCACCCAGAGAGACGCAAAGGCTCCAACCCCTGCGTCTCTTCACTACTTACCATGTTGGTGAGGCAGGAGGGCTGGGGAAAAATTAGAAAGTAGTAGCAAGAGGGGGCTGTTAATGCCAGGTGAGTACTGAAGGAAACTGGTTCGGAACGGAGGATTTAAATTCAATACCAGGAACTTCCAACTCTAGAGCAGAACTGAATCTGGAAGGGGAATGTGCAGACCCCAGTATGCACAAACCATGTCCTAACATTCCACTAGAATAACTATAAACAGAGATGCTAGAAGCCTTTTAACTCCTTGCCTCCAGGGAGTCTTGATTCCTAGAGCCCAAACTGCTAAGCAGCAGGGTGCACATCACTGGCATATGAGGATGGGGGTTTTTTTCTTTTTTTTTTTTTTCTTTTTTTTCTCTCGTTATAAGGATTTTTTCATTAGTTACCATTTCCAATTGCTTCCTTGCTTATGCTGTCGTAGTTCCTATCCCTAAATTAATCTCTTTGCAACTCCCAGCGAAATTCACTTAAAAAAAAAAAAAAAAAAAAAAAAGGAAAATAAGAATACTGCTTTATATATAAAAGCCAAAATGACTGAAGAGCCACAACTGTCTCCTTTTTACAAGGCGGGCTGGTACAAATGACCCTCAATATACAGGTGGTCTATCAGAAATAAAAATCAACATTTCCCATTTTATATATATATAGAGCTTGTATCGGACAACAGTACAACAGAACTGGTATTTTTCAGATTATTTTAGAAAAAAAAAAAGAAAACTACATCTCAGTCAAATATCTGCAATAGATCCATTTTTCCCATTTAAGGAGATTTATATATCATATTGTTATATTATCATTTCTTCACCCATTTAAAAGAATGGAAATTGCAACTCTACAGTAGTAATTATAGTCTTAATGATCCAGGAGTTCTGAATGTAAGATGAAGTCCTCTCGAAGCAACTGTTGGTCAGTAGTTGATCCAAAACGCTGGACCACTTTGGCCCTCCGCCCTGCTCCTTTCCCGGTCAGGGCTGTTGTATCTTCATCTCTTTTATATCTGCATCTGCTCCAGGTATTTGTAAGTGGGGTTCTCATAGCCATGGTTTTGCATCTTGCTCAGATGCCGCTCTTCTGGGGTAAGCATCGGGTCAACCTTTGGAAAAACCAGAGGGTTACTGGTCAAAGGAGGTACTGGCAGGCCTTATTTCACAGTAACAAGAGCCGACAGGCAAACGCCGGGTAAGTACCGTGGGTAAGCAGTAAACAGGAAAAAAGGTAAGCCACAAAGAATAATTTGCTTAGCAGAGTTCCTCGTTTGGGTGCTAATGCCTCCTTGCCTGCCCTTGCCTCTTTGGGGATGTTCGCCACAAATCTCGAAGAAGTTAGCTAACGTTACAAATTTGGGACCCGCTTCTTTCATTAAAGAGGTCGCTATAATTTCCCGCATCGGTTGGGCAAAGGGGAAAAGCAGCTTTCTCCAGACTCCATTAAGTTGTCATTAGAAATATGCACGCTGGGAGCAGAGGGAAGAAGAAGGAATCGCTTCTCAGCGTTCAGCCCATTGCGCTGTCTTAATAGTTGTTACATTAGATGGGAGGACAAATTGCTGTAGATTGACTGACTTACTCCCCTGCTAAAGGTATCGCCTGAAAAGCTCATTTACTGCTAAATCCTACCCTGAGCCAGACAGGGAAGCCTAATTGAATTCCTTGTGATAAGCGAATACAACTGTGAAGTGACAGGTCCCAGCATGGCACGCTGATGACCGATACCTGCATACTAATAACCGAGCGATGAAGATGTCAGCATCTACGGAGTTAAGTCCCATCTAGCTAGGAGCAGAGCACTTGATGGCTTGGCAGCTACTGCCATCTTCGCCCCCTACACACAACATGTGATTCAACGTTGACTATTTTCATCCCCGGTGATGGAGCAGGAGTTGTTTCTCACCTCCACAATTCCATGGCTGATGGTCCCATACTGCCTCTTCCTCAGCATCACCAAGCTGATGACTATAACAGTAGCTATGGCAACAGCAATCACCAACAGACCAATAAGGGCGCTGCTGCTGAAACTGAAGTCATCGCGAAGGGAGTTGTCATTATCCTGGAGAGAAGAAAACAAGGGAGCGGGTAGAGGAAGGGGCATGTGGGAGATGCACCGCTCAACGCAAACCTGAGAAGGGGCCACCAGTAAGGTCTTCAACTGACTGTGGTATCAAGACATGACTGATTACACTAGATGGTGTAAATATTTCACCTCTAAATACTTCTTTCACCTCTAAATATTTCACTGAAAGGATAATGAACACACAACTGTGTCTCCCTTCGGCATTCTGGACAGGCACTGACCCAGGCTGCTTCCCTTTTGCAACTGAAGAGTCAGGTTAGCATCCATGTGCGTTTACTGTTTCCATCTTGACGCAGAAATGCTGTACTGCATTGCATTCTGCATGACCTCCCAGAGCAGTGTTAAGGCACCGAATCCCCGGAATTCCGTCACACATAGGAAGCGAAACCTGGCTTTAGGAATGGGCTGATCGCTTGGCTAGACTCGGTAGCCACATACATACCGGCTCGTCCACCAGCCCACCGACACGCTCCGCATTGAAAATCATTTCCTTCACATCAAGGGTTTCATCAATTACCTGAAAACAGTCACAAAAGTGGATTATGAAAGGAGCCACGCAAAACAGGTGGAAGAAGGAATACGAGAGCAGGCAAGAGACCTTTAATGAATACTAGCAACCACCTACCATGTTTCCCCTCCCTCAACAGCGTGGGAAGTTCTCCAACTTTTAAAGCCACCCGAGTTAGTACTGCAACCATTTGGATGTTCAGACTACCTCAAACTAAAGGCCCAGTTTAAAAAATAGGCACTTGCCTTGGACACAGCACTTCTGTCGTGTCAGATCTGGCCTGTGGCTTTAAAATGCTTTTGAAAGGAAACTCTCAAAAGTCGACTTGTTTTTTTTTAACCCAGGGAACTCAGGCAAGTCAGCTGCCGCCCTGACCTAGTGAATTCTTTACACTGTAGACAGAGCTAACACCTACGGGGTCGCTCACCTTCAGAAGGGGGCAAGGCCTTTCTTGCCATGAAAAATAGGTGGGCAGACAGACGGAACACACCGGCATTCGGTGTATGCAGACAGCAAGCTACCTAGCTAAAATAAAGGCCCATCAAAGGGTCTTGGCTTGGGAAAGCAGATACTAAATCAGACACTTCTCCAGCTCAGACTGCCAAAGATCTAGATCTCTCTCCTTCCCTCACCCTCCCACCCTTCTCATGCTAATCAGCATTAAGAGCCTACAATAGTCAGAAAACTGACTCCCCCACACCATATGGATAATGAATACCCTGACATTCTGCAAGCAGGAAGGAGACATGGAAATAAGCCACCGCTATTAATTAGTGTCCACGGCAGGCTTTGCTGTACAAAATAAAGGCGGAGGGCTCACCACGTTTTCATCCACTTTGTTCTTGCTGTTAATCACTTTTTCTTCAGCGCCAATCAGCCCATCCAACTCAGTCATGCCAGAACCTGCACCAAAAGAGCAAGGCAGGGACCGTTAGTCAGCCCCCCGTGACATTTAGGAAGGGTTACCTACTCTCTGTAGAGCTGCCATGGCTAGCGTGTTTAACCGCACGGACCGCTGACTATTAATCTGTCTTCATGCTGTTGTGTCAGAAGGGGAGCTCATAAGCTATGCTACAGTGACAAGTGACTGGGGGGGTTCTGTTAATGAGGGGAAATGAGGTGGCAATGAGAGGAGCAGACAAGACTCACCAAAAACAGGCTGCAGTGTAAATCCCGACATACCATACCGTTAAGTGCTGCTGTTAGAAGGTCCAAGGCAACACGTAACACAAATCGTGAGCGCGCGTTCCTTTCTGCAAACGCCACCCTGGGCCACCACCGCCTCACCGTGACCCCCGTGATGGAAGTACCCATCTCCTCTCTGCTGAGAGCCAGCGTGCGGGGAACGCTTGCAACCGCACGGTCAGCATCACCCATTCTTTGGAAATCAAGCGCATCAGCAAGCGCCTCGGGAATGAGAATTTCAAGGTCACCTGGCGCAGCTCTGTAATGAGCTGCTGTCCCGTATCTGGCACAAGCCCAGAAACAATAAATCCCAGGGCAAGGGAGGAGCGAAGAACTAGACTAGCCTTTGTACCAGAACATCACTCACCCATTTCTCGGCTGAAACTAGCATAGGCTCAAGAGAAGAATATCAATTAACAGAAGGCGGCTGCTCTGCATAACCTGTTTTGATCTGAAGCGTTTATAAATAGATCGGATCGATAACAGAAGAGCCTGATGCAAGACACTCAGACCGAACGTAACACAGCAAGTTAGGAGAACGCCAGTTTTCCATCATCAGTAGGCACAACGTAATGTCCTTCGCGACACCTATGCCTCCCTAATGCAAAACCAGGAGAACAGCGAAGCCTCAAACCTACAGCGGGGTCTCTCCAACGAGAAGGTGGGGGAAATACTACTACAGGACTTAACACTTTGCCGGTGATTGCATACACCTCTCCACAAGCTGCTGAGCTTGCAGGTTGCCTAAGACATTATGTCAACTGCCGCGGAAATTGGCAGCGTGTTCTTTGATGAGATGCAAGGAAAGGCTAGCTTGGCTCCAAGGCAAGTTTTTACAGTGACAAGCTTTTACTGCCTGAAAATGCCAAGGAAACGAACGTTTCACTCCAACTCCTCCCAAAAGAAGCATCTCGGGTTTTAGTGCATCCCCTTTTCCTGTACGGTTCTTTGGAGACAGTAATCAGATTCCAGGCACGGCCAAGGCTGCCAGTCTGACTTCTCACGGCTGTCAAAGCAGGTCATGTTATTGTGAAAGTCAATGATTGGGATTTTCTGGAGAGACTAGCCACAAACAGTTTTTAGAGAACTCCTGTGTCAGCTTTTGGCCGACGGCTGCTTTATTCAATTCTCAGGAGCCAGCGTAGCATAGTCTCCAGGGCAGGGAGTTCAGCTGCTGCACTGCGCTTTGCCATTTGTCACAGAGCACTGTACCAAATAACAGACCCGGTTCCACGTAGCTCAAAGGCACAGTATAGATTATATACCTCCCAGAGGAAAAAAAAAAAAAACAAAACAAAACACCACCACTCACACGCACAAACCACCCCCCGAAAAAAAAAAAAAAAAAAAAAAAACACACACCACCACTCACACGCACAAACCACCCCCCAAACTCCCTAGCAACTTGGTGAAATGAAAAGGGAAGGGAGAGAAAGGGCGAGTGCAGGGTATTATCTTGTCCCCAAATCATCAGAAACTCTTCATTTACCCAAACAGGGAGAACCAGCCTGTATTTATCATCTTTAACTCAACAAAGCAGTTGTCCAAAAACCAAAAAAGAAAATTCAAACTAAAGGCTGTCTCCATTCTTTCCAGAGCAGTCAGGAGACTGAATTAGCCGCACGCTGTTCTACAAGAGGGATGAAGGTGACTTACATTTGTACAGAAACGCTGACAATGAGAAGAGTTTCAAGCTATCAAGCTTCCCCGTGTTACAAAACTGTTTGTGTTCATATTAAATGGTTATTAGCAAAATCCTTTGCTCTCCTTGGAGATGCCGCACAATCCATTTGGAACCAAAGGCAGATTAAAATGCTTGGGTTTACTCCCCACACATAGCACATGCACCACTGCTCTCTGCAAGAGCATTTTAAGAATTAGCCTTCCATTTCTACTTCAGGAACTGGATCTGTGGTAGCGGATCAGCCAGGCCTGATCTTTACCTGAGACTGTATCGCCAACAGAGGATTTAATTTAATGCCAATATTTCTATGCTGCTCTTAAAGCCCAGGCAGCCCCCTTTTAGCCAGGCACTGAGTTACTGCAGAATTAGTAACCAGCTAAAGGAGAAATGGATTATCACCAGAGACTTGACCAGTACGGAGGGATGCGACGTGTGAAAAGGTGATGCCGAGGAGACCACAAACACAAAGAAGGAATCTCCTAATTTACCTGCCCCAGGCCAGCTGGGCTCTGTAATATCTATGAGGGTATCTACGAGGACATTTAGCCAGGAAACACAGCCTATGTCTGCTGCAGCACTCTCACTCCTAGGTTAGTAAGGACAGAGTCCACAGCAGGCGGAAGAGCCTCTAGACTATGTCCCATCAGCACTGCGAGGTTTATTTTGAGAAGTGTTGGATGTGAGCACGCGTGGAGGGATGCAAAGTACTGCGTGGCTGCAGACAGACTGCTAGGCCCACATTTCTTGAAGGCAAAGAAGCTAAACCATGCGCTCTGAGATGTCTTGTGAGCCCGTCAGGGAGGAACACACACAATCAATTAGATGCTCAGACTAGCTCGTTTCTTTAACACTAGGCCTAAACAAGCAAAATCGAAAGTTACCCATCTAAATGAGAGCAGGGAAATGAAAACAAAGGTGAGTATGAAACTAAAGTGAAGCTATCAAACACACTGAGAAGGTAGGAGAGTGATCGAAAGCACTGTGAGGGAGCAGCTTAGAACCAACCTTTTTTCATTGGATGGTACAAATCCGGCTGAGGATCTAGCAGGAGGGAAAACAAAAACAAAAATAGCAGAGAAAGGAGATTAAGAGAGAAAGGAAAAAAGGCTTGCGCATGATTTCTGACTCAGACCCTGGGAAAAGCTTTTAGTCTACAGCTTTCTTTAAGCTCGGGACTCTGTTCAAGCATTTTTAAAATAAATACACACACACACACACCAGCTGTCAACACCCGATGATAAAAAAATAGATATATATTTTTAAAAAAATAAAGAGAATTCCTGCAGCCCTTCAGCAGGTCACAGCACAGAGACTTAACATTACAGGCGACTGTTTTGGTAAAAGATTGAAAATTAATTCCAGAGTCAAGCCACACAGTAAAAATTTAACACTCCCTGCAAAACGGAAAGAGATTAAACAATTTTGCGAAGAGAAGAGTCGGAAAATCAAGAGAGCAGCTCAGTGCAAATTACTCATGGCACTGCCTCTTTCCAATGGCCAGAGTCTGAGGGGTACTGCTGGGGCGACTGCTTTGCTCTTACATCACCCAAAGGGACGGAGCTTTTCGTTGCACTGAGCTGAGCCTAACGGCTAAGGAAAAGCGCCTATGTTCTGTAACGCCGGTGAACCCAATTTTCAGTTCCACATACCTTCGCTTTCAGGCAAGGCTGGGAAGGTTTTCACCTGGAACGGACGGAAAGGTTTGCCCTCCAGGGGAATTTCTTCGCTCTCCTCAGAGCTCACTCTGACATCCACCTGGGATTCAGAAATGGAGGATGTGAACTGATCCATGTCTGCACGTTGCTCCTGAAGCAGCTCATCTGAAAGGAATAAGAGGAAATATTACACAAACTGCGTGAAGCCTGGCAGGAACAGAAAGGGGCAGATGGTTTGAACCTAGCTGAGGAAGGCTGCAGGGGAACACTGTTCGGGGCTGCCACGTTAGCTTATCTTGCGTGCTCTGAATTCTCATCTGGAATGCTTGGTAAAGGCATCGGCTAGAAATACATACAAATTAAGGGCCAAGAGGCTGGATGGGGCAAGAGGTTTTGGCAAGATGGAGTTCAACTCCTATAAAGCAGGAAAGCATCTGCTTATTTTTATGGAAATTTTTCATCTCCCTTTGAGAGCTCGCTCTGCTATTCTGAATGTTGTTGACTTCTTTTAAACAGACAGTGAAAGTTCTTGGGAAGAAGCTATTCTGACCAGCTGCACTGCAAAACCCAGAGACTATCTGCCCTGCGGAACCTAAGCCTAAGCCCAAGTCCTTGCTGTTGAAGGCATCCCCTCAAAGGAGCTAGCAGTCTTTCTGGATATAAAGCATCTTCACTAGATATAAAAGCTTGTAGTCTAACAGAGTGGCACGGGAGCTGGCAGAGGCACTCACCAATCTCATCCTGGATTTCTTCAGCCACATATGGCACCTTGTAGAGCAGAGACAAGCTTTGATTCATCCGCTCCTCAATCACATGGAGATGTGTCATCACCTGCAAATGTACAAGAGTGTGTTGGAGTAGGCAAAGACTGTCAGTCACTTGATCGGTACCGATACTTCGCTTGTTAAATAAAGTATCTACTACTGGTGGATCTGCCACGACAGACAGCAGAATGGGACACAAGTCCATCTAGTCCAATTGTCTGACCAATGCTCTCTAACACGTCATGTTTCACTGGAACCGGCCATTTGTACATGGCGCGCTCAGTATTTTGGGAAAGGCTGGGGGTGAGAGAGAGGATTCAGCTGACTCTTGCTGTAACCCGCTCTCCACTGGAGACACTGAAGCTGGTATTTCCCATATGCCAGATACGGTCATAATTCATTTCCTGCCGCAGCTACAAGCAAGTGCTTTATTAAATGGATTATCATTCCTGACTGCTAGAAAAGATACACGCAAAGGGAGCAGACAATATTATTTATCAACTCTGGCTTCAGAACAAAGGTGCCTTTCAGAACAACAGTGGCATTACATTTGTCTTACACCCACTCACTGGCAACAGCATTCTCCCTTCATTTGAGAAATAAAATCAAACTCTATGCAACCTCAGATCGCTCTTCCCCAGCATATTAAATTCACTGGTGAAGTCAAGCCTGACCTGAAGAGGGTGCTGCATAATCAGGGATCACGCAGACCAAGAAAAACATTTATATGGGCGGCCAAATGTTGGAAAAAGCTAAGGAGTTGAATGGACCTGTTTTACAATCTGACATGTACCTGACCTTTAAGAGCAAGGATGAAAGCAATTTAATTTTACATGTGGCAGCTTGTCAATCAAGGGAATCGATCGAGGAGCTTAAAGTGCATCTGAAAAGTAAAGCGAATGGAAATTGAACTGTACCACCCACATCCCTCGCATGTCGATTTGTTGACACTGCAGCCTTCAGAATGAATTAAGGACTGTTTAGGTTTTAGCTTAAGAATACAGTTCACACATTCCCTCTTGGGCTTTGGCAGCAGCAGAACAAAGGGTCAGGGTGGACTGTGCTTGATATGCTAAGCTGTCTCTGAAAATGCTACCACATATTCCGCATCACAAGCCAAACACCAGCTTGTAAATACCACAACTGCTACCGCTCTTTCTAAGGACATGCACCTTCAGAAGAACCATAGGATCAGGGGCAGACAACCCGAGAGACAAGAGTTGAAGGTGCACCGCTAGCACCCAGAAACGACAGGAAACCCACAGGACCAGGCACCTCCAAGTGTCAGGTTCGCTTCTAAAAAACCACTGCAACGCTACTCTACACCTCACCAGAGGCGACAGTAACAGACACCAGTCCTCATCTTACTCTTAAACCATGGTATTTCCATTTACAGGTTATACAGCCAATAAAAGCATTTTTTTTCCCAGTGAACTGGGACTGGTAAAACACAGATTACATTCCTACAGCTGTGCCTGGACAGTCAATTCTCTCTGCTTCTCTCTGAACTTGTGACCCTTATGAACAGACACCTTTCAATGTCAACAGGCCATTCTTAACTTGAATCTTAGGCCTTTCGGTACATCTTTCACTATTTTAAACGCGGGTTGTAAAAACAAGTATGAGGAGATAATTCAAAAGATTTGTGGAACATCCGCAACCACTCTTACAAGTACTTGGCCAGGTTTGACACCCACTCGAAGCAGCATGTTCACATACACTACCTGGCAGAAGGAAAATCACTTTCTGGCTACTCAGGAGCATTAAAATATATGGCAGCAGCACAAAATAAACTCAGCAAAGCAGACTTTCTAATAAAGCTAACAATGACGATCAAGTGCTTGGCAAGGGTTATGTGTTACACTTTGGAAACAAGGCAATAACTCTGCAAGAGGCACAAGAGGATTCCCTCAAGGCATCACGAAGAAGGAGCTTAATGAAAGGAACACACAGACACGAGGTCTTGAAAGGAGTGAGGGAGTCTGTTCAAGGATGACCAAGTCCCCAGCAAATAATTTCATGGGTGCTTGACAAAAGGAAACGCAAAAACGATACTGAACTTGTTCTAACCCCCCACTCCCCGCCTTGTCACCGTGACCAACAACACTTCATGGCTAAAACCAGAGTTCCACTTTTTAACACCGAGTCAAGTACCACGGCAAATCGTGCAGACAGCATACCTGGTGACAGGCAATACGCATACAGAATGGGAGATCTCTGCACAAGTAGAAGTTGCTATAGTACCCAGCAAATTAGCGTGAGGACTCGACGCATGGCTTCTGGAGTCTCCAACAGCCAGGGCTGGGTAACAACGCCTGCCTTGGCAGAAACATTCTTATACCTGAGATTTCATCTGTGCAGCCTTTTCTGGGTCAACTGCCAGGACGTGCTGGTAATGGCGGATGGTGTGCAGGCGGTCCTTGTTCTCAGCACGAACGTAGCGCTTCAGAGCTTGCAGGATGCGGTGGGGCTGCAGGATTTGAGGAGGGGAAGAGTTCAAATCCATTTGATTCCAATAAAATTCACAGCTGAAATACAGCACTTCAGATGTGAGCCTGCTTTGTTACTGGACAGATCAATCACCTGCGCTAACCTCTTAGGTATTTTCTTTTTAAATTAAGTCTGACTCGGAACACTATGCCTTATGAACACTAAACAAAGCGGAGTGTTTTTAAACCAGGCAGAAAGGAGAATGAGTCAATTAGGAAACCCACTGCTAGGTCTTCAGCGCAAACTGCCATGATGGAGAAAGCTTTACTGGGAACCTAATCCCAGCTTCTGCCCCAGCAGGTCATAGGCAGTCTTCTCACCAAGCCGTTCCCACCTTCCACCCTACCCAGCACTACCCTACTGTAAAAATTCCTTGCAGAGAAACTCACCCGCGGTGGGTCAGCCTGCAGGGCAGCCAGGTAGTTCTCCAGAGCAATCCGACGGCGATCGTTCAACATGGCTTCCACACGAGCCAGGTGAGTTTCCACAAGCTGCTGCTTCTCACTTGCTGCCTCTTTCTCCAGAGATTTAACCATTGCCTGGAAGTGCTGGAACAAAGAAAGGAGTCTGCATGAAATGTGCTGTACGCACCAGGGTCACCTATTCTCCCTCACATAACTCCTTAGAACAAACGGAGCCTGTCACACTCCATGTCCTAGGCATTTACGGTAGGAGAGAAGGGCATTTGAGAAATGTTGATGCAGATTTCATCTTTGCAAATACCACAGTGACAATTTGCTTTCCAAACTTCCTCCAGGAGCCATTTCAAAGGTCTCAAGAGGCCAAATGGCCTTGCAGATAAAGATCTTGTTGGGGTTG